CAAATAACGCTGCCCCGTGATTTCACGTTTCGCCTGGCAGCTGCATCGCTTCGTTCCGCTTCGTTCTGCTTTGCGAACTTTATCGAGCGCGCGATATCGTCGGTGTATCATCTGACCGCAAATCGTAACTATTAATCCCTTCGACACACGCATACATATTCTATCGCACACGCGCACACACACATATATATATATTTGCAATATTTTTAAAATATTTTAAATAAAATTTATAAATGTGTTCCGTATTATTTGAAAATATCCAGTATTAAATTTAATTTTGTTTTACTCGAATTTTATTTTTGGTTACATTTTGAGTTAAAATATTTATCTGATAAAACGATTGCCACACTAAAAAATTATCGTGTTTCCGGCGATTAGGTGGCGAGCAGATGCTATGGGCAACATGTCGAAAAACCATTCTGACGTTTCCTTTATTTATTTGCGTTTGTCAAGCAGCGCTTGACAATGATTTTTCTCCACTAAAATGCTAATCCGTCAAAATCGGGTTTGACGTGAAATGTGCACGCTCTCCCTCGAGTTTAATGTTCCTTCGGTACATTGATGAACGAGACACCTGCCTCACTCGAGTACCGGAAGAGACTTTCGTATGATGAGTTTTCAGTAGGAGGAAAAATCCACGCTGTACCGAAAGCCAATTTCTCGTTTTAGCAACGACCGTGATTATCGTTATTTGGAGGGCGGCCAAACGTGATTTTACGTGACAGCTGTTATAGATGCCAAGAGAGTTCTCCCCAGCATCGAGATATCGCAATTGCAACGATATCGCCAGAGAAGAGATTAATTCGTTGTTTTACAGCGTAGCTACGAACGCTTTTTTCTTCCTCATCCTCGTGCGGTTCCTCATCCCTCCGTATTTCCTTCGACCGCAAATCTCCCGTTTCGGAAAAGAGCTCCTTTATCGTCCACCGACTCTCAGGAAGAGGAAACCCAAATCGGCGATGGCGACGCTTGCGTTTCTTTGCAGCAAACGACCAACGGACAAATAATAATGCTCGGATGTTATTCCAGAGCAGCTGCCGCGATCACAATCTCTTCGAGGTGAATTGTATGATTATTCATTTCGCGGGAAATTTTATTTAACTCTAGGAGTAGTCGACCGCGAGGCCAAATGTGAAACTTACAGATAAACTCGTTTAATAGCTATTATTATGTAAGATAATATCATAAGAGACTACAGTGTGAGAAAATATCACGAAAAATGAAAAGATATCAGGCGGTTAGTTTTAATTTTTATTCATATCTTGATAATTTTTTTCTATTTTACTTTTTCTTATAATAAGGCCAAAGGAATGAGCAAGTATAGATGTAGTAAAACTATTTAGTACCTGAATAAAAATCTGGAATTTTTAGAAATTTTTTTTTATTCTTAAAAATGAAGGATAGAAGTTTATCGAACATGAAGAATTTTTAGAATTTTATTTTTAAATTAAAATGTGCCTGTCTTTCTGAAAAATTAGTTTTTAATTTTTGTTTATAATACAATATATTTACAATCAGTTAGCAATAAGTATAGCATGCACATCTGCGCACATTCACATTTTCGCCATGCAATTTTTTCTAAAAAAATCAGAATGACAGTAGAAAATAACAGAGTAGTTTACTGATACTATTTTGTAGTGAGTCTCTTTCCTAAACTATCCTGTAAATTTCGCTTTAATTGTAGAAAATGATATAATTCTACTGATTCCTGTGTTTCATCAATTTCCATTATATTTTTTATTTGATAGTTCCTTGCACTCCAATTTATTTTAAAAGAAGAATTTGTATTGAAAGATTTTCTAATCTTATCCGGAATTTTGAATTTAAGAAAATTTTCCAGATATCTCAGAGAATTTTTTAGATTTTAGTAAAAAAATATTTAACTTGAGCAAATAATTTTAACAGTCCGAAATTTTATCTCAATAATTTAATACTTTTTCACTTGAAATAAAAAAATTATATTTTTTTTAGAATAATGAAGCACGACATGACTTTATATTTTACTTTTTTGACTTTCAAAGATTTATTTGATTTTATTTTTTACATCATATATATTTATTTATCACATTTATGTGCCATTTAATAACCTCTTTAATAACCT